GATGGGGTTATCTCACATACCGAGAGGGGGCTTAAGTTTGGACATAATGTACTTGCCAATTGTTTTTGAAAAAAATAAAGAAGGAAAAAGGAAGTTATTAGCCATATATGGGCCCCCAACAAACTTCCTGAGAAACAGTGGTGGTGGCCTGCTCTAATCCACCTCTACACCTCCCGCTGCTTGGGTTGGTGAGGTATGGCATATTGCCATGGTAGCAAGCTTTAACTGTTATGTTATTCAGCTGCATCACACCTCACATGCTCTATAAGGGCCACAGGGGTCACATAAACAGTCTGTTGTTAGTGCCAGGCCTAAACCATTAGGAAACACCCCCACTCTGATCAAATCTGCAAAGAAACTTATAAGTTCAATATGTGGTATTAGAACAATAGCAGTGCTGTGCTTTTATTCCTGTCATTAAATTGTAGTTATAATTTCATTCGGCTCATAGTAGCATGTAAAGCCTGTATAAGTTTGCACAGGGCAGCAGTGTGGTGCCTCACAGTGTGTAACAGTGCTGAGCCAGTGCCAGGCCTCGCGCCCAGACGGATGCCCTGCACGCCCCCATCCCACAGAGCTACTGCCAAACCACACAAGGAGATAGTAAATGAGAGCGCTGCTTCCTCCCCCGGCCAGCACACACGCACCATGTGGTTTGTTTTATCTGACTCACACGAGGAACAATGGCAGCGCGTAGCAGAGCCAGCAATTAGAGGCCTGTTCATCTGTATAAATGGCACTGCAGCAGCTCAATAAACGTAAAAACATATAGTCTCTGTTAGGACTGGAGTACTGGAGTACATGGGTGGTACTGTGTTCTTGTTTTCATTTGTTGAGGTTTTAGCAGTTAGTCAAAAAACTTACAAATAATATTTTTTTTCTTTTAATGATTAAAAGGTTCAAATTAGTGCTTCAAGTTTGCTGAACATCCTCATAAATCCACCCTGTTGAAAGTTTACACAACGCCAGTGAAGAGAGCCTACATTTAGCCTCTAGTACACTGAAAATAAAAGCAGTTTGTGTCAAGCTAAAAACAATGACGGCAAAGTCAAAAGTTGTGACCAGTTCCCTCAGGTGGCTGGGCATCCTTACACTCACTGATGCCACTGCCACAAGCTTCTAGTGACTGGTCTCTGACTCAAAACAAAACAAAAAACAGGCACACACACACACACACACACACACACACACACATATATATATATATATATATATATATATATATATATATATATATATATATATATATATATATACATACATACATACATACATACATACATACATACATACATAAATATATTTGTCACCAATTTCCCCAGCTAGTGTGAACCGAAGCTGTAGCATAGGTCACACCCCAGAGCGAAAAGCTCTGAGTGATTCACACATCCAGACACAAGACAAACTCTGAAGTCAAGACCTAAAGACATTTCCACTACTCACATGTGTGAGGGGGAGGATGAGCTAAGATGAATCCACATCTCATCTCTGCTTTTGCCCTGCAATCTTCATGATCTTTATTAGGGCAATAAGAGATTTGATATTTCTTCCACAGACCTCCAAGTAGTGTCAAAGGTGGCTTTGGATGCATGGCAAAGCGTAATCCTGATCTGAATGAGTGGGAGGAAGACAAACATTCCTTACCCCCTGCAGGACTCATGCCCAGTAAAAATCTGCTTACCCACAATGCACCTCTCGGCTTAAGTGAACAGCCCCCTGGAGCCTGTAGTGGCACAGAGAAATATCCCTCTTGTAGAAGCCACACGTGTCAGCTTCAGTTCAGTTACAGGCCTACTGGGCCCTAACTGGGTACATTATATCCACTTCTATTGCTCTTAATGTACTTTAATAAGACCTGTTTTCTATTAATTCTCCCTTGAAACCGGTAGTAACACGGCTACTAGGCACATATAAAACTGAATGAATGGAGTGGGGCTGCCAGCAGTCTGAAGGGGGAGAGCAGAAATCCTTGTGGATTTGTCCTCACCAGCTGGCTCCTGAGTCCAATATAATGGCTGTGCCCATGGCTCTCGTAGCAGGAAAGGAAATATTTGGGCAGCCTGTAAGCATTAATATGTTTAAGGAGTGCAGTTTGATTCAGGAGAGGTCATAAAGCACATGCATGTCACATCCTGAAAAGTACGACAGAGCTGCTATGCTCTGCACCTCAACTGAACGAGGACAATGACTTTGTGTGGACTCCAAATGTGAAATAGGCATGCTGAATATGACTCCTATCTGCTTATGGCACCCATAGGGTGAGCTGCAGGTTGGTCTGCTCCATGTTATGTGTGGTGATAAAACCTCCCGCACCTGCTTCTAACCCCTCAAACTGAGGCTCGTAAATATTGTCCATTTGTCATTCAGGAAAAAGTCATTCAAGCAGTGCACACTGGGACATACTGTGCCAGTCCACCACAAGGAATGGGATGAAGGCCCTCAATATTCTGAATCAAACCATTGCCATGGGCAATTTGTTTTTATTAAAAGCCTATTTATTTTGGTAAATTGCTTGTTTCCTATAGCAACTTCACTTGAAGTCAAAATGTGCATGGGGGCAGCCAAATTAAGGCATCAAAGTGCCTTAATTTAGCTGATTTGTTCAAAGTGTGATCATCCATATCTGACCAGTATGTTCTTGTTGCTGTTGTGGACTGTGCCAAACCCTATGGCTAAACCATGGTTTCCATATATCCTTCAAAAGAAATGGCAAGTGAAGCCTCATTATAGGTTTAATATGATACGATTTTTATACACTGCAGATCATAACACATTTTATAATCTTGGACATGGTTATTTATCCCACCAAAGTCATAGCTTCCATTTGCACTGGAGCAAATGTGTCACAGCACCCCGACCCTATAAAGGTCTCACTGACACTATACAGTGCACTCAAAACAGGCTGCTTTAAGACTCCTATCACCAATCTATACAGTACGGCTCAGAGCCCAGTGGGTCATTTCCTGTTTGTGGTTTCACTTGTTTTGCCTTTGAAGCAGGTTTTAATAATAGGACTCACTTGGGCCTAATGAAAATGCTGGCTGTTAGATTAAAAGGGAGATTTCGTCTGAGCCACCTAACCACACGCAGCACAAACAGTGCAGCGCACATAAGGCGTTTACAGAAGTGGTTTAGCTGATCCCTGTGATGTGTGAGTGAATGCTAACCCTCTTGACAACACAGACACTTCTCCAGCAAAACCAGTGGTCAGGAGGCAAAGGTATGTTGGGTAAAATAGCAGCGGTTCTGTGTCTTTCCTTTTATTTTTCCGTTGCAGACAGCACAATGTGGGTCTTTAAAGGTGGTCCCGGACTTAATGAATCCACTTCAGTGCCATTGCTCTTTAGGTCTAATCCCTGTCGAGTCTGGAGCATTGATAGTCTGGCCCACTGTGGATGACATCTGTGATTCGTTCATTAACTCGTAACCAGCAGCAGATGCCTTTAAAAACTTAGGACCAAGTGCATCTACAGTATGCCTGCTTTTATTGGCCATCCAGTCTTAATTTATTCTCAATAGACCAAGTTGGAGGCCAGAAATGGTACTAACAGAGTACCAGCATGTTACATAAGTATTATGTTACAAAAATATAAAGTGTAAGGTACACTTTATTGTTCCTATAGAAAAATATATCCTCTGCATTTGACCCATCCTTGAATGTGACTGGGGCAACCGGTCCAGAGCAGTGGGCACCACACCTGAGGACCTGTCTCCAGATGCTGTGCAAGGCTTGGTCAGGACTACCTTGGCTGGAAGATATTACCAATCCTGCACGTTTCTGGGGTGATGGGGTAAACTGGGGAGCCTGGGGAAAACCACACGGTCCACACAGCCATTGTGCTTTATTCATTCATCTGGTGGTAGTTCTTGGCCACAGCTGCCCAGCGACACATCTTCCACTAAGGTTTCAGTTGCCAAACACAAAAGCAAGATGGGTCCATTTTCTTGCCCAGTGACTCAGTGCAACTAGGCCACAATGACTGGTTGCTTTGGTGCCATTCACGAAGCTGACGACATCATTGAGGATTAAACCCCCTTTTTGAGCTGCCGTCACACACTCTGTTAAAACCCAATAGACCGTGTCCAATCCTTTGGTTGGAGCAAGGACTGTGTCATACTGTGCGATGGATTTAACAAATGTTGAGAAATCACCATTATACACTGCCTGAGGGACACAAATACTTCATATACCACTTGAGAAATTATTGTATAATTGAAATGTAGCTCAATTGCATTAATAAGGCTTATTGGGACTGTTTTTACCTCCTTGAAATGCTTGAATTGCAGTACTTGTCAACTAAAGGCCATTCCTCACATGAAAACCAAATCTGAGTGTAAAAGGCAAGAAGAATAAAAAGGCTCTCTTATACAGTCACAATGTTTTTTAATAAAACACATGTACACATATGCAGTCCTATGACCATACATTTACTCAATCCTAATTTTTAAACCTAGAACATGAATAAGTCTGTCTTATTATTTTTAACTCTTCAACACATTGAAATCAGTAGATGAGGTCAAATAAATCACTCACTGTGACATCAGACTTGTTAAAGATATGCACTGGTATAAGGAAGTCAACGAATATTTCAGCATATAAGAGTAACAGCATGAGGCAAAACTTTCACTGAACAAAAAAAAGTACAAAATAGAATAGAATTAATAAATAAATCAAATATATACCATATAAATGGAATAGTTATGTGGTGGTTATATTTTTTAACATTTTTAATCTGTAGCTTGGTATTACAACCTTTTTTTTTATCTCTAAAACATTTAGAACGGTGAACTGGTCAATACTGAAAATACAGTAATAAGCTTTTATTATTAGATAAACTATGTACAAGTCATGTTTATGCCATGCTAGTCAGACAACTAAATTCTTTTTTATCCACACTATACAGTTAGAGCATAAAGCGGTCAGAACGTAAACAATTTGTGCTGAGAATAAAATACTTCTGCATCTATGCATGGTAATTTTTATTTTAATATTACTCTCTCAAAAATGTACATAACATAAAATAAAAGGCCTCACATGGGAATGGTCTCTGTCTCCACACCATTGTCTACAGGGAAGGTGAGCTTTGACATAAATAAAAAGTCTCTTTAAGTTCAAGATGCCTTTTCAGTCCTTTAGCATCACTCTTGTTTAGCCAAATCTCTGGTTACCCTTTCATCTGCCATCTTGTTCGCCATCCTCCTTGCCCTCATCTCAGCCCACCTTCTCTCCCACAGCCTGCACAGTCTCTGCCTCTCATCACGTTTGGATGGTTAATGACAATGTAAAAAGCCCACAACAAGGTGATGGAATAGGGGGAGGGGCTTGGACGAAGGTCACCTGGTTGGTCACTGCGACTGGACAAAGCAGCATGAAGCACATTTTAGTGATATCCTACATTAGAGATAAATACTGGAGTGACCTAGTGTCCTATAGGCAGTGGGGTGGCCCAGGGCAGGAGGTGGGGCTTGTGGTCAGACAGGATATGGGTGCAGCAGTGGCTAGCAGCTTTGCGTTGGTTCTTCTTTATAGTATTTGGGTAGTCTGTAGTTGTTCACTGCTCACTGACTGGAGCGAACTGCAGCCAAGTGGTCAGTGTGCTGGTTGTGAGCCCGAAACCGCAGTCTCTGCTTCTTCTTCTTCTTCTTTTCCTCTTTGGACGGGTGTTTCCCCGAGCCCCCTGTGGACAGAGAGACATAAGACGGTCAGAACTCATCAAGAGTTGTGGATTACAGTTGTAGTTTGACAGGAAAGGCTTTACTGATGTAAAATAGTGTTTTATTTGTCCAGTTGTAAGCCTTTTACAATAATGACCGTTTCAGAAAGACATTTTTGGCATTTATGTTCTGTAGCAACACTCACAGTTTAAGCTTCACTTTAAACAAATGTCTCCTCACACCAACACTCTTCACTGTCTGTGCAGCGGAAAACGGAGATAACTCTGGGAAGTTGCATAACTTTTTTTCCAACTTGGAAAGGTCCCCAGCCCAAGGTTAATACACCCCAGGTTTGACTAAGACGGGGCAAAGCATGCTGGGAACTGACTTCCTGCTCTCATGGAAGCTTGTGTGGTGGAGGCTGATCTGCAGCCATACTTCTCTATGACAGAGAACTCAGGCTACTGAACCACAAGGCAACAATCTGACTGCCAAGGCCACAAATAAGATAACGAGGTGTGTGTGTGTGTATGAGGTGGAGAGAGTGTGAGGGAATTTAAGGGAAAGAAAGTCTAATGGGGGAAAGTGGAGAAGGCCTTGAATGATGAGATGCTATCTGGATCCTGCTGTAGAGCTCAAAGAACAGACCGTGCTATGGTTCGCTGAGGGGGAACTGCTGCCTCATTCACTGCTATTACTGCACTTGTTCAGGCTGCTACTCTCACGAAAACCCACTAACACTGTGTAAAATCCAACATTATCACTAATTGTGTTCACCATGGTAGTGAGAGCCACAGAAGAATGCCCAATGGTCAGTTTGAAAATTAGCTGAAAAGTCACTATTAAAGGTGATGAGTGAATAATTCCTTTTATCAATCAAAGAATGCTGCATTTACCAGAGTCTGTCAAGTGATGGTATAATATAAAGGGTTTCTTGCACACAGCTTAGGATCTTATCTCAGCTATTCAAAACTTTAAGACTACATTTTTCTGTAGTTGTCCAGAAACATTAACTGAGGTACAGTTGTAATTTTAGAACATTCTACCCATTATGTCCATTGCTATTTTACTATTTTAAGGATGTAATTATCAAAACAGTGTTGCTAGGTACCCACAAACATGCACTTGAGAGCAATCAACTCTCCATGAATTACACTGATGGCTGTAAAAACATGGTGTGGTGGGTGAAGTCCTGCTGGGACATTTCTTGGACACAAGGTTGTGTTTATGAGGGTTAGGTTAAACAGGAGTGTTCCTGGCTTCTCCAGGACTGGGCAGGAGATCAGTAATGCACTTTTTTCTCTCTTTGTCAGAGACCTGCCAACACATGTGAACAGCAGGGAAGACAGTTTTTCAGGAGCCCCAGTGCAAAGGGCAAATAGAGTTTAGCACATCGATTTCAGGTCACAAGCGATACAAATCTTTTCTCTTTGCAAAAAAAAAAAAAAAAAAAAAAAAAAAAAAAATAGACAAAAAAATATCACCAAGACAATGTTTACTTGGACAAACTTCAATGCATTCCTGTATGTAATGTAATCCTAAAACTATTTAGGGGGTAATACATGTATCTATTGTCAACAATAAAGAAGCTTGCACTTAAAAAAAATAAAATAAAAAAATCACTGCATTAGAAAGTTATAAGAAGTTATGAGAAGAGGAGAATCATGTAGGGAAACCCCATATATATGCACACTGTAGTGTCACAGTATAAGTGATGCTTTTTATAAAGCAGAATTACTGTGAATATAAATCCTGGCTGTGTAAGTGTTTTGTCCAGACAGAATCTCCTAATATTTCATAAGCATAAGTTCTTAATGCTGACAGCTAGAGGGCAACCATACTCTACATTCAAGCCCATGTCCCTGTATATGATATGTGGAGATGCTCTGTCCTATCTGCTGAAGAGGTTTCATTTGGTCTTCCCTTGGGGCAACACACGCTCAGCTTTCATCATCTCATACTGTATTTACGAGCAGTGTAATCACTTAGGCTGATTACCGGGGTTCACAGAGGAAACAGTTTAATTTGCCTGGAAAGAAATGATTAAGTCATTGCCATAGCGTTCAAAACCAAGAACAAATTCATAAATTCTTAAGAGAGTACAATTGAGTCTTGGAAAGGCAAAGCTGGTTTCTTTCTGTTTTCTATGTATTGCCGTCCATTGTAGTGCGACACATCTGGCACGGTCAGAAGCCATTCAAAGAACAATCACATTTTATCAGAAAAATCACGAGCTTTCCGTTCTGGCAACAGTAAACCGTAATTTTATAATGTTTGGTTTATGTTCTTTCTTTGATACAATCTGCTCTGCCAGCTTGACAATCAAACAAACAAACAAAAAACCCAGAATTGAAATCAATGTGGAGTTTTGTGGTCAGGTGTTTACTGCTGTCAAACCTGACCTTTGTGGATTCTCATTCATTAGCATGTGCAGAGAATGGAACTCTTCTAGATAATCGCTAGTTCAAAGTTAAGGCGGTTAATTATGGCTGTTTCCATAAAGCCCCTAAAAAACTAGAAAATCGAATAAAACACAGTAAAGGAGTTTTTTGGCTCATTTAAAACAGCATGTAGATATAAACCAGAATATATCTGAGTACAGGTTTCAAATTCCAAATCAAATGAGTTTTACTGCGGGCAGTTGGTGAACAAAATTCACAAACTAGTAATTTGCTTCAGTGATATGCTGCAACATAAAGCAATGGATAATCATAGTAAAATATACAATTGTAAAAACTATGATGAAAAAGGAATACATTAAGTACAAATACAAAAATAAAACAGATTTATACAAGATACTGAATATATACAGTATGATCACTTATCTTCCTGAGATGTCATCGGCATCTTTTCATAACTAAAAAGTATTCGAGGCACTCTACCTGATTTTTACAGTCTTAAAAATGTAAAAACAGAACTATGGTTCACAGTGGTCCAAAGTTTTTCCTCACTTACCTTATGCATTCTGACCATTCTAATAATTCACTTTGATGAGTTCATAGAAAGAAGAGTGGAAGAGAGAAGAGCTGTCAAGGTCAACAACTAGTATCCTAATGTGCACTTCCTGATTATCAAACAATGATACTCTTTATATTTAGATATAGACACATTTTGACCTCAAGAGCTCCTTATATAATATCTATAATGGGGTAAGAAACATTTTGCTCATATACAGAATACAGGGCCGTTAATTATTTGGAATTTTACATATTGGTTGTGATGGCTTTCTTCATTTGTGTCTAAAGTTGTACAAAGTTTAAATCACCAAAAGAGGCTTTACAAATATTGCCCATTCTAATCTATGCAGCAGCCACACTAGCAAGAAAAATCATATTAAAGTCAACAAGCACATTGGAGGACAACTCTCAATACCCCCTCAAAGCCAGCCAGCTTACTCCAGCTTGCTCTTCTCTCTCACTTACACTGCTATCTGTGGCTTGTAGCAATAACACAGCATAGTGAAAGTCCAAGTGAGACTTAAGCACTATTATACATATCATATTATTAGGCTAAAGTAATACCTCCCGTGGGACGTGAATATAACGACTGGTCCGACTGATGCACTGGAAGATAGTCAGCCAGTTGTGTATCCCAGTGGAAAGGAGGCCAAAGCCAAAGCCCTCTTCATCTGTGTCAGAGCTAATATCTTTGTTTTGGAAAAGTGGACCCAGCTCAAGAATATGTACAAGCTTTAAGCAACTGTCTCAGATTGGTTCAAAAGCTGGTTTAGTATTTTGTTAACTCATAGAGAAGTGCAAAGGTATACAATGTGCAATGTACAGATAGAATGATCGCAGAAGGCAATCTAATCTTGTGTTAGTTCAGGGTTAAATGCTCAATCCACAAGGTAACGTCTAAATCAAAACAATGTAACCTGGCATACAGTGAGGATGACAAAACTGAAAAAAATAATGAACACATTTTAAGTGATTGCAGTTATTGATTCAGTACAATGACCTTGGTATGGCATCATTTCAGTATTTTGTTTCAAGAATATTGTACTTGGCAGTATTTGCAAAGCTATAACTCTTTACATAATTGAATATATTTCATTATGCTTCAGTGTGGGACAGTGAATGGGCAGCAGCACATGTGCAGAGTGGTTGGTTAGAACTATAGTAAAATTGGGTTTTGATTCGAGTATTGGGACTCAAAATGTTCTCTCCTTGTCTGGGTGGTACTCTGATTTCTCAAATGGGCCCAAAACATGCATGGTAGGGGTATTCCTCCATACTCCTACTCAAAATTTCCTATAACCTTTCCTATCCAAAGGTATTTGAATGAGAACACTCCTTGTACTAATGCAGAATTCATCAATTTACCCTTGACCTACACTGCTCCCTACATTTTTTATAAATAAAGCATAAAATCACATAATTGGAGCACACTTATTCAACCACACCTCACTAAAATGTTGGCACACAGAGTAAGCCCTGGCAGTGTGCAGAGTATAGTTACAATATAATGACAATAGCCTTGACCTGCTAATAAAGAAGAGCAGTGCAGCTACTATCGGCTGGGGCCAAGTGATTTCATCCACTAACGGCTCCAGCGGCAGCACATGGATTGGAGGCCTAATCTTATCTCCATAGCTTGTGGTTTGTGAAAAATCAATCGCTGACCTCAAGAAGACATTAAGACATACGGTAAAAGGGATTCTATACTCTCCTGTTACGTCCCGAAGCCTATACTTGATGCGGGCGATCAATTAATAATCTTTTTTTGTTTAGGGCCGATTGAGGTTAAGGTGGTAAAATTATGAATAATTTTGGAGAAGATTCGGAGGGATTTTTCAGGGCTAAAGTTGGAGTTTTTGGCGGCACGTTGCATTCATAAACAGGCCAAAACGGAGGCCATTATTTGTGAGGGAAGGAGAGAAGTACTGGCGCCAGAGAGATTTGATTTCAGTGAAAGAAATTGGATTAGCAGCCATTAAGGGCCTCCTCACACATACATTTATAACGCTGTGAAGGGCCGGCCCATGCACTATGAACAGCTAACACACCGGCGGCGTAGGTTACAT